AACTACTAAATTTAAATTATTTAACTAATCTTCGGACTATAGAAAATTCTAATACGTAACAAATAGCCTTAATTATCTCATTCCTGTGAAACAGTTTGCACTTCACTAATTCCCTAAATAACATTTTATGAAACTTACGTTTATAACGATCATATGGATCTCTCGCTCTCAGTGCACTGGAAGAATCTTCAAACCTAAAGCTCATGTTAGAATGTACGTCATTGGCTGTCATTGCAGGGCTTAGTCGAGGTCCAATGGTAGGGCTCAACAGAGGATGGTGTCGTTTAGTTGGGATTGGACCGTTAGAGCTAGTATCATTAAATCCATTTTCTTTTGGTCGTCTGAAATCACTTAAGTAAATATAAAATCACATAGTAAGACTACTGGAAAACGTTCCTGTCTTTAACAAAACACATAGTAGATTAAACATTTTTGATCTTATATAATTTAAAATGGTTAACTCATTACAGAGTTTAGTTAGTATGTAAAAGTCCTCTAAAAACCCTGACATTCGGCAAAAGATTTAACTAACCCCTGAAGCTATATGTTATCAGTCTCTAGCATTATTTCTAATCTGTTCATTGTATCCCCGAAAAACGTACATGTTTATTAGAAGCAATTATCATTCCTTCTCTAAGTTAAATAATAGTGATTCTTGTGTAATATAACATATTTTTCACATTATATTTTACGATTATACATGCAACTGGCCTGTAGGTGGCCAATATTTCTTTGTATTAACATAAATCAAATTGAAACAAAATGTCAGCCTGAAGACATTTCAGAAGTACGTTCGGAAAAGTTATTTTTTTTTTATAAATTATTATTTTGAACTATTTGATTAGTTTGTTTGTTTGTTTTTCGCGCTTTATTAAAATATGACAATTGTTTGTCTATACTGTTAGTGGTTAAAATGAATATGTAAAAGTAAGGTGAAATAGTCTTATACAGGGGTAAAAATATAACAAAATGTAGCCTTGGAAACATGGCCCGGCATGGCCAGGTAGTTAAGGCACTCGATTCGCAATCTGAGAGTCGCGGGTTCAAATCCACATCACACCGAACATGCTCG